TGGTATTACTAACTAAAAATAAAACAATTAAAAATCATTTTCGTTAACTAAAGTAAAGCTGAAATAAAATGTAAAAAATGAATATAATTCATATTGCATTTCCGTGTTGTTTAATATCAGGTTAATAACGCACCAAGAATAATTTTGTGTTTTATTATTTTAGTGTGATATTTTTGATAGCTCGCTTGTAATCAGGCTTTCATATTTTGACAGTGCCAACTACACGGCTTGCGTTCTGTGTCTAGGTAATAAATGTTCTCTAATTGTTAATGAAATCTGTTTTTAATTATTATTAAAAATCATAAAATTGTTAGCATGCATAATTTCTGAAAGAAAATCAGAAATGCTGGCTTGGCAACTAAATGAAATAAGTTTGAAGAAGTACTAAAATACAAAAACTAAAGTTGAAATAAAAAAATTAATTAAAGCTAAATAGAAATATTTTAATTAAAATAATTAAAATCACAAAAGTACAACAAAATTACTAAAACTAAAATTAAAAATGAAAAATAAAAGCTAATTCAAAATATTAATAAATATTATAATAGTGTATATATATAAAATACTAAAATAACACTGAGAGCTACATGAAAATGATCAATGCCCAAACATGTTCTGTGTGGATTTATGTGCACACATTATAATTTTACAATTTATACTTTACAAATTTTCACTTGTTTAATTTGTACCAATAAAAACTTTTCATTTATATTTATACTTATTTATTTATATATATTAAATCTTTTAAGTTAAAAATGGTATATTCCTTATGCATCTTAAACTGTATCTTTCGTTTATATTTAATCCTTTTAAAATAATCTATTCACATTATTTGTGATTAATAACGGAGTATTGTATTTGCCGAATTCATGAAATACTGAACATTTTTCAAAATAAATGTGGGTTAGTAAAGATGTATTAAAAAGTGTTATTTATACTATTATGGTATTTATTAATATTTTGAATTAGATTTAATTGTAATATTTTGAGCTTTAATAATTTTGTAATTTTTATCTAGGTTTCATTTATTTTATTTTTTTCAGTTTTAGTAATGCTATTACTGAAACGTTTTTCAGCATTAATTTAATATTTATTTTTTATTCTATATTTATTTCAAATAACGACATTTTTTAAATATTTAATAATAATAACAACGCTGGTATTAAATGACGTATAAATATATATACAAACAACGGCAGACAAACAGTATTTTGCACTCAACTAAAAAAAATTTCCTTCGAGCCGGATTCGAACCAGCGACCTAAGGATGACAGTGTTGAACCTCTACAGTCCTCCGCTCTACCAACTGAGCTATCGAAGGCGTTGAGCAATAATCTGCCTCCTGATACCATATCCCACCCACTACATGCAAATTCTTTTATTCAAATCAATGATTATAACTTACCAGTCTGCTTTCTTCAAACTGTCTATTTTCGCTCCCCTGGCAATGAGGTACCGCACACACTCATAATGACTCATGGAAGAAGCCTCATGCAGAGCTCTCTTGTAGTCGTTGTTATACACCTCAATGTCCATGTTGAGCTCCTCTACTAAATAACGCAAAATGTCCATGTGTCCATGTCTGGCAGCATAGTGCAGTAAAGTATCTCCAGATTTCCCAAAATGAGTATAGATGACAGCCTGCTTGTTGACGTGCTCATTGAGTTGTTCTCTGACTGTGCACAGCTCTCCATGTTGAACTGCTTTGATTAAGGGCTTTAATGTGCTTTCTTCCTCCATTTAGCTCAGTGAAATCCTTCTAAGTAGACTACTTAAAGGAAAAGAAATACACACAACAGCGATGCATTACTAGTGAAATATCAACAGAAACCTCCAATGTTTTTACCGCATGGTCCGACGTAATGTGTCGACGACACCACCGTTTACTTCAAAATAAAAGTCCCACTATTAGTCACACTTTTTATCTTTGCAAAATATAATATTCTTATAAAACTATAAAACAAGAAAATGAAGCACAATGGCAAAGCAGTATGACATTACCTGTTCTTATGTTTCTTACTACCCACAAACTGCTGGTAGACAGACAGATAAATACAGAAGACAGATAGATAGATAGATAGGGTAGACAGATAGATAGGTAGATAGATAAGCCTTTTGTCTTTTGGGTAATTAGCTGTAAATTCGAGGCACAGGTAGTTTTTAGTCTTTTGTTCATCACCACTCACCTCCACACCAAGACAAACACAACTGAAAGGGAGGGAGGGCTTCACTTCTGCGGCTCTCTGCCTGATGCGCATGTGCCGATCAACGTGCGCTACACTGCTGTGTGCTGCGCCTGCGCGGAGGGGCGTCGGAACTCGACAGCATAGACATAATATGCTCGACAGTCTCAACATTTCCCGACCCGACATTTTGATTTTTTTATTAGTTTGACAGGGAAAGCTGTGCGCAAACAGAAACACACACACACACACACGCGCGCACATATAGCTATATACATATATTCATTTATAAAAAATTAAAAAAAGACACTCCCCAGAAAAAAAGGGCACTTTCTCTAGAGGAAGAAAAAGGGCATGTGCTCAAGCCCCCTTTTATGTCTTTGTCGGTGTGCACGTGCCTGGATAGATAGATAGATAGATAGATAGAATGGTGTAAAAGTGGCTTACAAATAAATTCACTTCAGGGAGAATTTTACATATATCATTTAATATTTAGACTTGGGGCATTAGCCTTTTATTACAGCACAATTTGCATAATTTATCAATACCGTTTGTGTACAACCACAAAAACCATGACAGCTGGATTTTTTTTCATCAGTTTACATTAAGTGGAAAACCAGACGGATTATACAAGCATATCTTTGTACAGTCAGCATACATATTTAGATCTGATTAATTTTTCATAATCTTTTTCTCTTTTTGTAAATAGAATCTGGACACAAAAATAGTATGAACAAACCACCAACAAAACATGCAACATCCAAAGTGAAAACACCATACGTTTCCTGATTCTACTTGGGAGTCAGTAAGGTCAACATCTGCTCTTTATTATACAGGGTTAAATCGGTGTCTGTTGTGCAGGTCAAGTCCAGTCCATCAGAGGCAAGCATGAGGAAAGCTTTTACCCTAGTGCATGTACAACATGTAACACACAGATCAAAACACAGTCGCTCTGCTTCTTTCCCTCACACATGCTCTTCGCTGAACCAGAAAACTAATACAAGATCCTATTTGTACAAAAAGAAAATTATTATTTTTATTTACACGTCTTGTTTTTATTTATTAATTTTTTTATTATCATTTTTGCAGAGGTGAAAGAGTTAGTGTGGCGAAGTGAAATTGGAGCATGCGTGGATTATTCAAAGGAGGCTGCGTTGGTTACGATGAATTAATGTGACGAATTGTTATATGATGCTTTTTTCCCTCATCTAATTTGTAAACATAAAAAATTATAACACATTCTGGGAGATCAGAATATATAGTGAAAGCTGAGCATTGTATATAAAGCGGAGTGCAGTGAGATATTTGTTTCCAAACACTGTGAACGATGAACATAAGATGATCCGTCTGCTATGATCCTGTAAACACATTTTGTTATGTAAATTTGAATTCTCAAAACTAGCAGTTAAATAGTCGAGTAGGTTAATCAACCCTACGTTTTTGCAAACTCATTGTTACATGACCTCAAAATAGCAATTTAAAATTAATTAAACAAGCATCAAGCAAAAGGCACAACCAAATATATATATATATAAAAGCAAACATATATATACCATGTGGAAAAAAACATACAAAAATAAAAAAGTCCTCATTCGTAATGCTTTATCTGTCCTCCGACCACTAAACAATAAGTACATCAGATGTATTTTCGGTTGCATAGAATAACATGCACAGAACCTGCGGATTTTGGTAGTTTGGCACAGGTTAAAGGTTGACTTAACCCTTACGCTGGATGTTTGAATGAATATCAGTAAGTGCTTGAGCTGTAAAATGGCTGGGCTAAGTGTTGTAAAGTTTGAATCCACACATCCCAAGTTTAAAGGCATAAAAACCAACATAAGAAACAACATATAGCCTACATAACACTAATGGCATTTGATTTAGTTGTCTGCATTGCGAAGTGGCCACACTTTTCTGAAAGAATGAGATGGTGCACTCAACGTCTAAACGTCTCCTTTTAGACAAATAAACTGAAAAGAAAATAACAGTTAGCCAAAATGATCTGTTAAATAAAAAATGCACACATTTTGATGTCATCACCCTGATCCTCACTGTTATCGCCTTTAAGCTGAACCTGCTTAGATCAAAGATCAGCCAATAACTTTTAAGCAAGGCTTTTTCATCGAAACCTGAGAGTTTAGGAGTTTGATTTTTAATAAAACATAATATCAACATTGTATCAGCAATATGATGCGGACAGACACTACACTGACCCATTCAAACTCTAATCCTTGAGTATTTAAGAGAGGCAGATGCGTATGAGTTTGTGTGGGGGATTGACAGTGTTTGACTTTTTTAAACGGCAGGATGTTTTTTGACGAAAAAGCTACCAACCTACATTCGTAAAATGCTAGACACAAAGTGCAAATCATATAACAGTGCTGGATATGACATTTTCAACTGATGCTGCTGCATATCGGGGATATGTCGTCTGTCACATTCATCAAATGAGATAGCAAATCATAACAATCAGCGAACACTTTCTATTCAATTCCCCATTCATTTCTGTGAGTCATATTAGACCGGCAGTTTTCTTAAAGGTTTAAATTCTTTGTAATTATCTGCTTCTTGATTCCTGGAGCTCTGAAACTGTATCTCGGACTTTGATGAATTTAGTATCACACAGCGAAAGATGAAAGTGTTATAATAACCGTACTGACACAAGGAGTCATCACAACACCCAATAAATCATATTTCATTCTGTCTATAATATACCATAAAATACTCTTCTAATCCATTGATAATATGATTTAAATATCGTTCTTTCAACACATAATAACATCTGAAAGGGAATGTAAAATAACAATAAATATCTAAAACTGAATTTGTCTATATCATACAAAAATAATGTATACGATATCCGTCTCTATCTGTAAATAATCACAAACGGGATAAATAAACTTTCACTCTATTATCTAACTGTCTGTTGTGGCCCAATGTACACATATTATTATACATACATCGGTATAAATATGTGTCGATAAGTGTGAGTGATTGTGAAAGTGCATGTACACATATACGTATGAACATTGTGGGACTCTCCGGCTCAATTTTTTGAGCTTTTCCCAACGTAAAGATCTGCATCTTGTCAATAAGGGTCAGACCCTTTCTGTAAACACCATTATACACCTGTTTCTCCATGGCTTGGGTTAACACAATCACACGTGCCAGTGCAATCGGGAAGCTCCCTGTGTCGGCCCTCCAAATTCAGCTCAGTTTAGTCCCAAAGAGTGCGGCAGAGATGTGCGACTCCGCTGCCTGTTCTGTCCTCGCGCCTCATCCGACCGCCGTCTTTAGGAGTGGATCTGAGCTGTGCTGGCCAGCAGCTTGTGCCAGCTCACCACCCGTTTCCGCAGGTCTACCTTATCCAGCCACACGTAGGCTTCGCCGATTAGGGTCTTCTTTAAGAACTTGCCTCCGTTTGAAACAAGAAAGAGCTGCAAGGATTGGAATAAATATGAATCACGTGACTTCAAGTTGGGTCACATTTTAACACCCTAGTGCGTTGATTTCTGGTGTACCTGAATGGAATGACCTGTGGGGTTCATGCAGAAGCGGAAAGTTTCGTTAAAAGACGGTTCGCGATCATGACGACACACTCTGGTTTTCTTCTTGATGATTCTTTTCTGAGTGGCCACATTCACCACATAGAGCTTCACATACAGGTCTGTAAAACAACACCAAAAGCAAGTATTAAGCGTTCCTCTCTCAAGTCCTGTTTAAACAGCATTTATGTAAGAACATTTGGGAAGCTTACATCAATAAGACAATGTGTATATCAACCATATATGTGACTCTGGACCACAAAACCAGTTGTAAGTCACACGCGTATATTTGTAGCAATAGCCAGCAATACATTGTATGGGTCAAAATTATCGATTTTTCTTTTATGCCAAAAATCATTAAGATATTAAGTAAATATCATGTTTAGTGAAAAGATTTAGTAAATTTCCTACTGTAAATATATCAAAACATAATTTTTGATTAGTAATATGCAATGCTAAGGACTTAATTTGGACAACTTTAAAGGCGATTTTCTCAATATTTAGATTTTTTTGCACCCTCAGATTCCAGACTTTCAAATAGTTGTATCTCGGCTAAATGTTGTCCTATCCTAACAAACCAGACATCAATGGAAAGCTTATTTATTCAGTTTTCAGATGTTTCAATTGTTAAAAAATGGACCCTTATGACTGGGTTTGTGGTTCAGGGTCACATATAAATTAGACGCAAATTATAATTAGCATGAGTGAGTCATGTCTTGTTACCTGGGAGGTGGTCTGGAGACTTGAATTTGTATGTTATGTTTCTGCACTGTAGGATCTCAAGCACCAGGTGTTCCCCCTCGGTCTTCATCTCCTTCTTCAGGGCGATCTTTATCTCCCCCATCACCTGAGTCTTACCTAAACGGGCAGACACAGACACAGACACGTCAATATCGCAATTCTTCTTCCTATCTGTTATCTCTGTATCTCTTCCTCCCACATTCTGTGAATCTCTGAGCATGAGGAGCATAGAGACAGTGATAAATAACACGGCACAGGAAATAGATGAATCCAGGAGGAACTATTATTCCACTCTTATTCAAGTCATAGATAAAAGTGTGATAATATATTCTATCGTTCAAAAGTTTGCAGGCAGTACGATTTTGTTTTTAGAAGCACTTGGGAGTTTTATTCAGCAAGGATGCATTAAATTGACCAAAACTGATTTCTATTAATCAAATAATCCTGAAAAGCATCACGGTTTTTGACACAAATATTAAGCAGCACAACTGTTTTCAATTTGAGCACCAAATCAGCACATTAGAATGATTTCTGAAGGATTATATGACACTTAAGATTGGAGTAATGATGCTTAAAATTCAGATTTGCCATCACGGCAATAAATTACATTTTAAAGTATATAAAATAGAAAACAGTTATTTTAAATTGAAATAATATTTCACAATATTTCTGTTTTTATTGTATTTTTGATCAAATAAATGCAGAATAGGAGAGCATAAGAGGCTTCTTTGAAAAAATATTAAGAAATTTTTACCAACTACAAACTTTTGAACTGTACTGTAGATAAAAGTATGATCTAATAAAATTATACAAATGATACAAAATCATAATATATACAAAATACTGTATATTGAATTCAACTTCTTTGGTGCCACATTGTACACCCCAATACCATGCTATTGACACAAACATGCACAAATAATCACAAAACCACACAACATCCCATGCAAACATTACCCTCTGTATCTCCATGAGCGGATTTCACAGCTTCTGTGCCGTTTGGAATCTTTCCACTGAATAATAAACAACATCAGGTCAGAGAACGCGTGGAGTGCCAAGAAAATGGAGGGATTTGAATAAATAATAAACAAAAAAGCAGTCTAGATGCTACCAAATAAAACCATGAAATTGTAAATTATTTCAAACAAAATATGACAGATTAGCAAATATCATGGGAGTCATATGGAAAGCACTCACAATCTGGGAACCTGGAAGATAGCACTATCCACCGCATTGGTCCCACCCTCTTCATCCAATAGGCTAAAGGCACTGCCACTCAGACCGCTGTCCAATGAGGCTGCAGTAACAGGAGCATCACCGGATATATGGCTGTGGGATGCTGTTTTTGAAGTGGACTGTGAGTTGCATGAGTTACATAGACTACTACTAGTTTGCAACTGGTAACTATTAATTTTAGGGGTAGATATCCACATATCCACTCCCAACACACGCATACATACACGCAAATAGATACTGCTGGCAACATTTAAAGAAAGCATGACAGCACTCCATAAATGAAAGGAAATATCACAGACAGAGATATGCTAAGCAGACATCAGATGACAGAAGCAAAAGCACAGACACAACAAATTAAACTGTTCATTAGTAAACTGTGTGTTTGAGTTTTGTACATTAAGTTATTCCATTATGCTAATTCTGTTAGCATTACACTAAGTTTATTTTAATTGTGGTTACTTATGATTAATAATATTTTCATTGATTTTTTAAATGTTGATGCAGTGTTTGACTGAGAGTGATGGTGATGGTGTGACGTGGGATGCATGATTTCGGCACGTAATTCATGCACACAGTCTTTTCCACACAGATTCAGCAACGGTAACGCTAACACCAGGCATCTAATGACTCTCTCAGGATGGTCAGGGGGTCATTGCTCCCTCCTAGAGTTTGTTGCAGTTGAGCGCTACTGTTTTGCCCCTGGTTTTAGGGAAGCATGTTGCTGGACTGTTGAATAAGACTGAGACTCGCTGCATGAATTTCCTGTGAAGTGGAAGAGGGAGGATTCCAATCGAAAGTGAGCATCACTAGGTCCTAAAAAACTGAGGACTTCGAAGGTCGCAAGGCATGTATTTGCAGGACAAGCATCACTGCAAATCTATTGTGAATCAGCAAAATTAAGGCCTGGTCATACCAACACAAATTTTCGACAGGAAAAATCAGCCTACATGTGGTTTGTATGCTCAGACCAATCTCAAAATGCAATTTCACTCTCTGTCAGTAGGTGGCGCTTACAGAAAAGCTTTTATGTTAAAGGGATAGTTCACCCAAAAATGAAAATTCTGTCATTAATTACTCACCCTAATGTCGTTCCAAACCTGTCCTTCGTTCATCTTCTGAACACAAAGGAAGATATTTTTGATGAAATCCGAGAGCTTTCTGACCCTGCATAGACAGCAACGCAACTACCCCGTTCAAGTCCCAGAAAGGTAGTAAGGGTAATGTTAAAATAGTCCATGTGACATCAGTGGTTCAACCATAATTTTATGAAGCTACGAGAATACTTTTTGTGCACAAAGAAAACAAAAATAACTTTATTCAACAATTTCTTATCTTCCGTGTCAGTCGACGCGCATTCATGAGAGTACCACGATGCATGTGTGTGATGCTGCAGACGCAGGAGCCGGCGTTCTGACGTAGAACCCAGATGCGCTGTGCTTAGTTTCATTTTTGGTTGAACTATCTCTTTATTTTCTTATGTTTGTCGAAATATTTGATTACAATGACTGATTTTAATTGCCTTTATGTGTTCATTGTTCAAAATGTTTCAATAAAAACACACAAAGGCAGTGCTGCGCAATTTTACATTTTTGACACTCGCTTGTCCTGGATAATAAACAAAATCAAACAGCATTTTTAAAACAGACATTACAATTTTTTTTATTTGGTATGATGTTCATTAAACAACAGCAAATACAATAATACAGAGAAAGATTCTTCCTCTGCTTTTCACTGTCACTCAACAAAATAGTCTTTTTGTGAGCGCCACCAAGTTGTTGTTTTATGTAACGGCAAAAGCGTGTGTCTCCAGAGTCCAGACACATGACCAAAAGTGCAATTCTTATTGGTTAGCCAGTTTTCGTCACAGTGCAATGGAAAAGAGATTAGAACACTTATCCATTAAAAAAATTAATTCAAATTGACGCCATGCAAATATTTGTGTTGGTCCGAACAGACGTAATAACTGCCGTTCAATCAAATTAAATTAAATTATTATTTTCGCACCAAACATTCTTTTGGTGTGAACAGGCCTTTTACATAACAAAATTCCTGCGAATGAATGCTAATACTAATGATAAAATCTTGTTTCTTTGTTTCTTTAATTCAAACTTATTTCAATTTGTGTGCTGTTAAACTTCTACTTATGTAAATATGTAAAAGAATATTTAGTCCCGGGAGGAACAAATCACTTCAGGTTTCAAAACGAATTGTGAAGATGCGGCACCCAGGATCAAGTGATCATAACTGCAGACTTACTTCCTTGACTGTCTTCTGTAACGGTTTTGTGTAAAGGAATCCAGTTGCTCACTTTCGTTTGGAAAGACCCTTCAGATAGCATCCCCTTCCCACAGTGCCCTTCGTGAGCACAAAACACCCTTAGCAAAACAGCTAGTCCTCAGCTAGTTCCTCTAGTTAGATGTGCGTTAGTAACTCAACATCCTTTCGCTCTCTCTCTTGCTGTCATCGGCAATCATACGAGACGTTCAACTCTCACCTCCGTCCGGCTGTGGCCTCTCTTCAGACATGGCTTTCCTGAGGGTCAGGTGACGGCCGTCAGGGATCTCATTGGCCGGCGACTCAGATGGGGCTCTCTGAATGGTGAGCACACCAACTACGCTGTGCCTGTGGTGCCTCGGGTCGAGGCGGCCAATTTGGGCTGGGGCCATATATCAGCCGTGGGGTGGGAGGCGAGAAGGAGGGGATGTTTGGAAAGGGGAGAAGTGGGGCGAGATGGAGACTCAGAGTATGAACTTGTCACAACATGGACACCACCAGCTTTTACTGTAGGTCATAGTCACATGCAGCCACAGTACGCTTACAGCGTCGACTGAGGTGCAGTGTAGGCCAGCGAGAGCCGCAGAGAGAGTGGAGGCAGGGTGGGATGGTGATTTAAGGAACGGGCGGCCACATGCATGGCCATCTTGGTGGAGTGGGGAAGCTGCTGAAAAGCCGGCCGTCTGGGACAGAAAACAACTCAATGGGGCAAATAAAAGAAAAGTTCAAAGAAAGGTCGTCAGGGCTGTTGTGAAGGGCTCAAGTGGGCAAAATGTGACGCTATGTGTTGTGTGCTGATCAGGTATGGTTGGTTGCTCTCTAACTTTAATAAAATGGTAACTTGAGCAGGTTTTACCTAAAATAACCTCAGTGACAAGGTTTCAACATGTCCCTGTGGGGTAAAAGGACATGTCTGCCGACTAGGTGCCTGACAAGTGCAGTCAAATCTCCTCACAGTGATTGACAGGTCTTAGTAATCTTAGTTAGTATCCTGTGGAAGGCAGCAAAGTGCCTGACTAGGTCGGAAATTGTATTTATTTTTGAAGATTTTTTAGGCTTTTATACATATGCTTATTGTGTGGTCCCTGGGAATCAAACCCATGACCTTGGCTAACGCCATGCTAGCTGCGCTACAGGAACAGGAAGGTTGAAGGATAGTTTCATCTCATATAATTACCAATAGATCAATTCAAAGTTTAGCCCTATTACTTCAAAATATGATATACTGATATAATTTTTAAAATAAATTATTTATTGGCCAGTTTAGCTTTATTGTGTTCTTAAATTGTTATAATTATTAAAAGTGTTAAAAAATGTTGGGGAAAAAATAATACTGTTCTTGTGTGTTTGCAAACGTGACGTGTTCCCAACACACCGGTGAGAACACGCAGGCGAATTGGAAGTGAAGTGACAGACTGTGACCACAGGGGGACCAGAGGAAGTAAAACGAGAGAAACCAGAAAACAACAACAGGGAAGGGAAAAAAAAACAAAAGAGGGCCGTGAAAAAGAACAGGAGGAGGAACAGATGAGTGGAAGGCAGCCATGCTGTGGAGGTTTTATTTGCGTCGTTTACTTGGTTGGAGACGGGGCTGCTGGCCGGCAGCTTCGGCCGGTGCCGCGGCATCGTCAAGGTGTGCCCGGGCCGTGCCACTTTTGCCATGAGCACGGGGGCCTCCGTGGGGGCGAGCTTGGCCCTCGGAGAGGGACGGCTTCGACGTGCCGGGGCTACTGTGAGATTTCTCAATAGTAGGGACCTGTGTGTCTAAAACAACCAGAACCAAATTACCACAAGGGCGTTTCATTCCCTACTTTTGCCTATTTATTCATTTTAATCCTTCAAAAAGTCATTCTTATTTATATTCTACAATTATTATGTTGTTAGATTATTTGAAATTATCGAGTCTCTCCATCGGACACAACTGATGTGATACTTAAGGTCCAACTATTGTGCCCTAGTTAGCATCTAAGCAGGCTGCTTCCTGTCAGAGCGGCCCTGACACACTCTGTGTGAGGTGGCTGGAGTGAAGCGCTGGAGAGCTCAGCGCCGTTGTGAACTGAACACACATATATGGAGAGCGAGAAGCCAAAGCTAGGAAGCTCAAGAAATACAGGATGGAGAGATCCAGTGAAAGCAAGAACAATACAGAGGGAGGAAGAAAAGACAGAATGCATAGAAATGACAGCAATAGAATGATGGAAAAGAGGAAGACATCACGACTGGAAATGTGAAAGGTGAAGTGGCAGAAGTGCCATGCGACTTGCGGTCCTACCCTTGGCAGGGTCAGGGAAGATTCCGTGACTACGGCTCTTGATGACCGAGGATTTGGGCGAGTCCTCTTTGCTGTGGCTGGAGGTCTTTGGGGAATGCTGGCTCCCGTGTCCTCCAGGGGGTTTGGGCGAGTGCTGGTGGCCCTGTCCCGAGTGAGAACGCCGGTGATGTTCGCCCTCGCTCTGCTCCTTCAGAGGCAGCCAGCGTGGGACATTGTCCAGTTGGGCCGTGTTGGACAGGTCGATTAGTACCTACAAAGCCCCATACATGCACAATTTCATTATTATTCAGTGATAGTAGTAGTGTACGTGTGTTATATATATATATATATATATATATATATATATATACACACACACACTTGTGTATCATTTAGCACACATTGGACTTGGTGTTTAATCTTTTAAAGTGTGTTTACAGCTTGTAGCTTCTCACCTCTCCCAAGAAGTCATTGGCAGAGCTCTTGTCGTAGTCCCACACGCTGACCTCTAGTGTCTTCTTTCTTAGCTAAACACACACCACACAAACACAGAGTATTCAATGCCAAGATGATTTACTTTGTGACTATTACCATACATTATTTTAATGTTGTCATTCTAAGTAACTTCAACTGAACTATTCCATGGTTAATCTCTAAATGAGGGGTAAGAAACATCTTATAGACAGTTTTTTTTATTACTCAGTATTTTTCTTGTTTTCCAGTCAGACATATTTAAACATCCTTAAACAATATACATTTACCTGAGAAGCTATATTTCAAAACACACACTTCCATTCAAAACCAAAGAGTGAGGTCAGTATGATTTTTTAGGATAAATTAATGCTTTTATTCAAAAGTGACAGTAAAGACATTCATAATGTTGCAAAACATTCTATTTCAAATAAATGCTGTACTTTTAAACTTTCTATTTATCAAAGCAGTCATTTTTCATGATTTCCAAAAAAGTATTGAGCAGCACAATTGTTTTCAACCTTTATAATAAGAAATGTTTCCTTAGCACCAAATCAACATATTAGAATGATTTCTGAGGGATCATGTCACATTGAAGACTGGAGTCATGTCTGCTGAAAATTCAGCTTTGCCATCACAGGAATAAGTTACATTTTAAAATATGTGAATATAGAAAACTGTTATGTGAAATTGTAATAATATTTCACATAATTATTGTTTCAACTGTATTTTTAATCAGCCTTTGTGAGCTTTCTGAGACATTCTGAACCTCTTCTGAAGTAAATTTATTTTGTTTTTAGAACATTTAGATACTTTTACTGGAAAGCAAGACAAAAATACTGATTTCTGTTAATCCAGCAAACATCTCCAACACGATATGCAGCACTGGACCATTAAATCCAGATGGTTTTCAATACAAGCCTCACCTACCTGCATTCTGTCTTTCTCTCTCAATTAAGAGCCGTTCGCCTCGCTTCAATAGTCCAGTAAAAACATATCAATCACATCTGTCAGCAGCAGCCTCAGTGAGCTCAACAGACTCAGGAAGCTCTTTGGTCTTAATTAGACTAAAGCACTTCTGGGAGACAACAGACTTTTCCCTGTTTGCACCAAAAGCCTGAGATCCTCTCTGAAGAGCTTTCAGATAATTGAAATCTCAAAACTCGAGACGTTCAAACTAAAAAAAGCATATTCCATCGAAGTGAAATCAGATTTTTCTTTTGGTTTTCTAGACACCTGCAACCTAGACATGTGCAAATGATTGCGAGCTTGTAGTTCACCTGTTCCAGATGGATATTTTTGTAGATGACCGTCTGGTTCCACTCTGGGTTCAAGCTCTTCTGAACATGTTTGGACCTTCTTTTGTTTTCAGCACTGCAATCAGATAACATACCACAAGAGGTCACCATGAGTTGCAGGTATTAATTCAGTTGGGCACAAACTTAACCATGAAACCCCTCACAGTGGTGGCAAATGGTTTGCACAATGGAGGACTTCTAGTATAGGCCCACTTGTGTTGCTGCAGTGACCATATACTACATTGAGAAATGATGATATAAAGAGCAAAACACTACATCATTAAGCCATTCATGTCCAAGCATGGCCAAGTCTTGTATAATGTGCTGGTACTGTAGGAAAGAATCACATACCTGGCATTCTGCACAACCATGACCTGACTGTGAAGATCCAGCATGCAGCAAAAACAGACAACAATCAGTGATGAGTGGGAAACTGCAAAGGGAGGGGTGTGTGTGTGTGTGTTTGTGTGTGTGTTTGCAGTAGCCCATGCATTCATGCCCATATGGAGCAGAGAAATGGAGAGCTCCTGTTTCTGTAGGTTCAATCCAAGTACTGCATGATCAGATGAGAGCCATAAATGATCCAACACACATACACAAACATACACACCAACTTACAAACATCAATCAGCGCTATCATTTTTCACACAAACTGAACTGGCATTGATTTTCCTCTTTTGCTGACTCACTTACTGCACATATAAATGCATGGACAAACACACACACACACACACAATCATATACAGCTAAAAACTAGGTCTTACACAATATGCATAATCCTCTCCAGGTCTTTGCCACAGACCTGGTGCTAATTACAGCTGGATAAGTGATTTTCTGTTTCGTTAACTCATGGAAAGTGGCAGCTAGGATTGAATAACAGGTCTGGGAGTCTTAATTTCCAGTGCCAAGGGTGAAACAGGTGGATTTATCTTTTTTAAGTCAAGAAACCAGATATTAAAATCTTTTTTTCACACTCTCTGGATAGCTATTTTGGCAGGGCGCTTAAAAAGGAAGAGGCTGGACATGTAAAGTGACCAACCACAGTTAGTTGTTCACACTAAGGCTGAAACCTTGAGACACAATTCAGTTCCAGTCAGTTGACTTTTACTCAAGGTACTTACCCTCTACCCGGCAGCAAGTAAACTTTAACGAACGGATCCGAGTAGCCGTTATTGTCCCGGGGTGCCAGATTTCGTGCTTGAAGAACATGGACAATGAGATTTCCCAGCTGTTTGTCGTAATTTATTTGAAGCTGCAAAATCGAAGAAAGAAAGAAATGGCTTTTCTACTTTTTATACTACTAAAAAGATGAATGAATATGGCATACATTCTGTTGATTAATAAGCAGGGTTCTGACCAATGAATTCACTTTATACAATAGAGAATGCACCCATAATGAGCATTTTCCACCTGAAGAAATATTTTAGAGCTGAGCATAACTAGAAGAGTTTTTCACGAGTTCACACTTACATATAATAAACAGAGTAAAGGTTATGTGTATTTGGCGTGCTGTCCGAGGGGAGGGCTCCGAGCTCGGAATTTGACCCGAACCCAGAGTACCCTCACCCCTTGTAAGCCTTGTTAATGAGAGCCAAAACCTACCTGGATCTCTCCTGACACTGAATGGGACTGAGTTTTTGCAGCCTCAGAGGTCTAAGAAACAAAACAGCAGCAGTAAGAAAAGACAGAAGTTATGCATTTGAATCTCTACACACAAAAAGGCATCAAATAATTGTATGCGCATGGCATATGCGTACCTTGCTGTGACGCTTCTTGCTGACAGAGGGCGAACCAGGCTGGCCAGGGCTGGGAACTGCACTGGAGCCAGCTGACGCTGAGGCTTTATCCAGTGTTGACGCAGAGGAGGACGGCACCTGCTGCTGGGACACTTTCTGCAGCTCGGCAGCCAGCTGCTTAGGGTCCACACCTGGTGACCGCGGAGGTCTGTCTCCTGTATAATTATAAATGCAAGTCAGAAGTATGTGGTAAAGTGCCATTGAGGTTAATTAGGACATTATCATTTGATTGTCTTCTCCACTGACTGGAGGTTCTCACCTTTGGTCTGGTCTTGAAGGTCTAGGTGGGAGCTTTCAGAATCAGACAGCATATTTAGGTCACTGGAAATAAATGATGGTCAACACAAAAAGTTCATTTAAAGGGTTAGTTCACCCCAAAATTAAAATTCTGTCATTAATTACTCACCCTTGTGTCATTCCAAACCCGTTAGCCCTCTGTTCACTAAAAATTCTCCCCGAGTTATCATCTTCCGCCATTTTGGGGAGTACCACGACGCATGCGTGCGCTTTCTCCTGAACGTTGGTTACGTTCATTGGAAAGCTCACATATGCATCGTGGTACTCCACAAAATGACGCGGTGGAGAAGAATTGTTGAATAAAGTCTTTATTTTTGTTTTCTTTGTGCACAAAAAGTATTCTCGTAGCTTCGCAAAAAAGTTGAGCCACTGATGTCACATGGACAGTTTTACCAATGTCCTTACTACGTTTCTGGGTCTGGGAAGGCTCTCAGATTTCATATAAAATATCTTAATTTCTGTTCTGAAGATGAATGGAGGTCTTAGGGTGAGTCATTTTTGGGTGAACTATCCCTTTAAGCAAACATGAAATCAAAATGGACCCTATTTGCTCTTAAATGTATGTTCCTGGTTTTAATGTACGTTTTGTACAAAACGTACTTCTTTGGCTCTCAAATGACTTTCCTTTTTGGTTGAAGTCACAAATCCTTTTTACTTTTTCAGCCCCTTACCCTCTCTAACCCTTTTTTACATAAAAAAATGTTACGTCAATTTTTCATGATTTATTCCGGCCCTACATTTCTTCTTATTAAATATCATGTTTCATTAAGAAATACAAAATACAGAATAAAAATGGGTTAGGAACTGTTTCATTTTAACTTGACATTTAAATGTGCACTCATTTTTCCAAACAAGTCCTAATAATTTCTTTAGTTGTACAACTTTTTTAGTAGACAGATAGAAGGTCAAAGTAAAAATGACCTAAAGCACATTTAAATAATAAGTAGGTATACAAATCTGCCACTCACAGTCTGACATATATCTCCGCCTCTCCGACCTGGTGACCAACTAGACCCTGCACCTCCTCGTACGTCTTACCAGTCAGAGAAATGCTGTTCCATTCCAGAACTTGCATTCCTATGCAAACACACACACATAGAAAATCAGCCATTAGATACATTTTAGTCTTCACTATCTGGAAGATCAAACACGCTGTGAAAAGCACTGCAACACCACATGTGATGTCTTTCAATTAAACAAACCCAAACGTGCTGTAGAAACCCTGTGAGAAAGCAGAGGACACGTGCAGCAGAGTTCACTCCAAGTCACAGCAAACTAAAACCACTCTGTTGGTGCACTTACACAGATGAAAACGTGTCTTCAGGTAGGCCAGGTAGGCCCGCTTTGGACGTTTCGAAGCTCCCCTGTTACGGTGGATGCTTGGGGTCCCTGGAGGTGAATGTGTACTCGTGTCATGTACTGTATATGTACACACTCACATATTTTATAGTTTAATGTGAGACTGAACAGCCAGCTCACATTACTCCAATGCTTAACACCAGCTTGATAATATACATGAGTCACATGGCTGTTGTAACCATGCCGACAGCATGCATAATCACACTTAAAGCAAGTAGAAACATTTGACATTTTACCCTTAAGAAGCTTCAACTGCTGCTGGGACATTATGTGGGAGAGAGACAATATGACACGAGAAGAGACGAGACAAGAAGAGACTGAATAAGATGAGATGAGAAAAGAGTAGATATGAGAGAGAAGAGAAGGTCCAAGATCGAGAAGAGACAAGATGAGAAAAAGTTAAATGGGATGAGATGAGGCAAAGTGAAATGAGACAGTAGATACATAAAGAAACAAGATCAGAAGATAAGAGACAAGAAAAGATGAGAAAAGAGAAAGAGAAGAGAAAAGACAGGAGGAGGTGAGAGATGTTGATACTAAGCAAGATGATATGAGACAAAAGTAGATATGAGAAGAGAAAAGATCAAAAGAGAAGGGAATGAACAAGATGAGATGAGAAAAAGTGAGACAAGACAAGAAAAGGGTAAAGAAGGGACCAGATAAGATTCAATGAAACAAGAAGAAACAAGATCACAAGAGAAGAGTCGAGACAAGATGAGAAGAGACGAGACAAGATGAGAAAAGACAGGAAAATGAGAAGCAAGCTGACAAGAAGAGTAGGCATGAGAACAAGATGAGAAGAGTTGAGAGAGTAGACATGAGAAGAGATGTAAAGAGTAGGCAAAAGATGATGTGAAGAGAAAAGATGAGACTATATGAGATGAATTGAGATGATGAAAATAGAAGAGACAGTAAGTGATAAGATGAGGCGAGACAAAATAAACAAGATAAATGAGACAAGAATAAAGAAGAGAAGAGACAAGATGATACTAGAAGAGACAACATGAGATTCGAAGAGACGGGAGAGTATACATGAGAACAGAAAAGAACAGAACAGAACAGAAAACGAGGAGTAGAGGAGAGGACACAGCTAAGGAATCAGATGTCTAAATACAAAGTGATATTTGATAGAGAGTGTGAGTGGAGGAGGAGGAAGACAGATGTGAAGTGTCAGTCCCAGTCAAAGCTCAGAATCTTCTCTCACAAAGCCCAGCTGTTGTATATAGCCTCATAAATAAGCCTGCACACAGACAGATCCACTCCCTCCGGCTTCACTTTCCCCCTCGTCACCCATCCCGGCCCCTCGTAAATTATGACCGGGAGAAAGCAGCACAAAAGCCGGAGCCCAAGCAGACCTAATTTACAACACTTCATGCTCAACCTCAGCCCTGGAGAAAGAGAGAGCATTAACTTCTCCCTCACAACTGAGATCAATAGAGCTTGTAAAATTCAGCTCCATCAAAATGGCTGAAATAGTCCATCAAGACAGTCCAAAGCAGTCATGAAATCCAAATTTCACTCTGGGTTTTATTCCAAAAGTCTGTTAAGATTCTTCCAAGTCAACGAGAAACTCTAGCCGTCAGCCATCATTGGGCGAATCTGTCACAATGAGGTCAATTCTGATTTTGTAAAGTGCACATTTACATAACGGCATTGTAAAAAACACCGTGTCAAAGCAGTAAAACCTCAAACTCTTTTCAGCTGAACTCTCCAGAGACATTTCAGTCAAAGTTTTAACACTCAACTCTCATTTGATCTGCGCAACACCTACGCCGCCAATGTACACCGCAGAGGAAACACAGTCATGAACCTGAAACTTCAACTTCATTTTCTGCTGCTCTATCTTTATCTCTCACGTCAAGAGTGAGTCACTCCTGGAGCCTGGAGGTGAAGAATCGCGCGGATTAGCATCATTTGTTTTTCCTGTCTCCTACTTTGAAATATCACGTCACATTGTGGCCACCCCCAGAGTAACCACCCTTCACTGAGGTGCCTACCTTCCACAATCTTCCCCGTCTGTTCCGCAGCTCCTCCAGGTAATACTTTGGCAACATACGCACCAATGTCCCCATTGCTGCCCGGGACCTCTTTTCCTCCAACCACACGGATGCCCAGTCCGTTTCCTGTGAGAAAATAGTATTGCATACATATAAAGGTGGTCCAAAACCTGCACCAGATGGTAACAAGCCTAGAAGACTCTTTTTGATCTTTATTTTTTTTTTGGATCAGTGAATTTTCATTTGTTTTAATAAGATTTTGAGTCAAAAAGTACAATTACTCAAACTAGAAGTGGTTTTGCATATTGTTTTCCATATTTGAAAACCATTTTGTATTACACTTTTTTTGTGAACATTTTTGTGCAATGGAAAGGTTCCATGGATGTTAAACGATCTTCATGAAACCATTGATGCCAATACAGAACCTTGTGAACCCAATTAAACTAAAATGCCAATACCATCACATTTTACACAGCTGTTGGGTAAAAAAAAGTCTATAAAACCACAATTCAGACAACACCGATACATTCAGACAAGAATCAACTGAAGCTAGAGTTTAAGAGAAAGGTTTAATTGTGCTGCCAGACCTAAGGTATATTTCTATAAATGTCAGGAAGCAAGTTGCCAAATCTATATTAGGCTTTTTAGTGGGGCACAAGTGTGTTCAATAAACTGTATATTATCCCTGGGCAATAACGAGGAAATGCTCAAGCTTTTTTGTACACCTTGTCAAGATGTTTAGGTGTCTATACAGAAACTGTTCTATGACATTCTGTCATTCAGAATCATAGTACACAGGTCCTTCCATTACTGTAATTACGGTGCAACAAATCCACCAGTCACGGCACAGGACATTCACTATAGCCTTATTCATTGCCTTTTTAAGGCACTTGTTTGTTCATCAGTTTCTAATTACGAGGATAATCCAATTTGTGCATTACACACCATTTTGAGCTTTGATGACTGATGAAACTGGAGGGATACCAATCTGCCACATTGCTGCGTAATGTCTGCCCCATTCTAATGCTTTAAGGAACATTGACACAGGAGATCAAGGGGAATCAACCACACCTACAGTACGTGACATACCAAAGCATGAGGCGGGGATAGACCACTGATGTGCTTTTGCTCAGCGGTTTCGTGTCTGTTGACATTTGTGTGCAATGATGTGACAAAATGGAGTGCCACAAGAGGACGCTAAAGGGAAATGGGAGAAGAGCTAATGTGTTGTTTAGTAGTAGGCATAAAGTAAAACTGTGCCAATGCAATCTCAGCATGGTGAAACTAATGTTTGCATAGACATAAGCCTTGGGCATCTCTCCATGATGGCCTGGTAGGCAAACAGATCCTCTTTTATCAGGGACAGCTGTCCTAAACGTCTGTCTACATTGTTGGAGCATGTCAGGAAGCCAAACAGCACAGCATTGAGTATTTGACAAGTTGCACTTACCTGATACACTACGATCTTTGGGATCCCTCTGTAGTTTTATTCTGGCATGAGGAAACGGGTAGTGTGCTGACTTTCCCTAAAGATACATCAAATAAGCAGAATCAGACACTGTGACATGCAATAATATGTTTTGTCTGATGACCAGGTCTCTATAAATGTCTCAGTTTTTTAGGTTTCTTGCAGTGTATATTTATTGTTTCTCGCTAATCGGACTGAAATGGTAATGCAAAAACCATATGTATCACCTGTCTTCTATCCCCTTGTCCGTTCTCTGTGCGCCCATCTCGTGGTTTATCAAACCAGTCAGTTTCCTCCCGTCGCAGGTGGTACGCTTCAGAAAAACAGATTGAAATTAAAACGTTAAAGTCTTGCTTGCCGGTCTGTTAAAACAAAACCCCTAAAGGCTCTCTGGTAACATCGGGTACTAGAGACAGCTAAGGTACATATGCAGTCTCAAATTCAAACAATATAGAGCCATCTGGGACAGAAAAGAAAATGGTTATATAAAGTAGAGCAGTTATTTTTGCATGCAAACCTAAAACTAAAACAAACCCTGAGGATACAAGTCTTCAGATTGTATTTTTTTTTTCTATATTTAATTCTCCATTGGAATTCTTTAGAAGAAGATTTAGAGCAAGTCTGTTTACTACTGTACCTTCCCATAAAAATCTGAGGTTTTCATAAATAAGACAGGGGTTAATGACATAGGTAGGAAATATTTTGGCAAACTATCTTGTATTAGTGTTGGCATGGGTCTTTCAGCTACAATGTGGAAAGGGTGGGTGGGGGTGGGGGGTTATAGGTTTTTACATTCAAAGGCAATTTTAGATGTCAAGATTTTGTCATGGACATGTAAATAATTGACCTCAGGTCATCAACATTTAACAGAAGACAATTTTAGTGTTTACAGACCTGACATTTCGATGTAAAATGATATGACAAATGTAGATCCTATTACATGGTGAAACACTCACTAACAAGGAGCACTATTATTGTGTATAGCTTTATAAGTGTGACTAATTTGATCAGGAAGTCATTACTTTCAATAGATTTGATTTGAAAAATTATTACTAGTATTATATGAATTATTTTTTTGTAAACCAAATTTGTGAAATTGCAGCAGCTTAAACTGAGAAAATGAGCGTTATTTTTAGAGAGAAAGGAGTGTGAAATTCCAATTTAATCACAGATGCAAAAGCTGCATTCACTAACACAGCATTACATTAGTGTGCAAATTCGTCATACTTCCTGCAACATGTTGTTATGGAGATGAATTTGCGGTTGATTTGGTTGCCTAACAGCTCATGGGTGATTGGCAGGTGGGTGGTCATGGTAGCAGGGGTGTGGGAGAGACGGGAGACGTGCAGGAGCCTATGGTGGTTATACTCTACCGTTTGTGACATTCTCATGTGAGTTTCCTGGATCGTCTCCGCTCAAACCCACCAGGGATTCACTTAGTGCTGCAACCAAGGCAAATTCATTTACTTCCAGATGGCACATATGATGAACAACACATCATATGCTGTTAGATGTATGGGGTCAGTTACTTTACAGATAAATGAAAAAAAGAACGTTCAAATTGGTGAGTATTTTGGGTTTGAGCTTCACGTTCTGTGGTTGTGTGATTCTTTAACTCTACTGTATATTGTGTAACAATTACAATATTCTTGTTTTTATATTGTTCAGTGAAGTTTCATGCATTTCACAGATCATGAGGGGAAGAGACATGCAATCCAATGCAATTACCGTTTCATCAATCTTAAAACTATACTTTAAATGGTTTCATAAATCAAGACAAACATTAATACACAGCTGAGAAAAAGCATAGCCCTTTCTATTTGAAGGCATTTTTAGTTCCCAAGTGAAAAAGCAGATGAACATGCAAGAAATTGAAAGAGTTTATTCAAAAAAAGACAGGAAGAGACATGCACATCACTTGTACTATCTATTAAAGGAACATCAAACATGCAAACACAAACTGGCATGGTATTATTTACTCTGGTTCATGCTAGCAACATGCATGAAGAGTATTATCTATCACTGAGAGAGAGAAGTTTGTATGGATTATGACATTTTGTGTATACTGTATGCTATAACATTTTCTGAATTAAAGTTAACTGAAACATCTTTTAATAAATTTAAAAACAAATGCCTGACTTTTATACAGAACAAAATAACTAAATGAAGAGATAATCTGTGTAGTTATACTATGACTTTTTTTGCTAAAAGGCACTTAATAGATAACTACATAACCAAAATATAACTAAACAGATGATTAATCAAGAACGTGTAGCTCTAGTTTACAAGCAGTCTAACTAAAAATGTTGAGGGTTATAAAGCTATTCTTATGCTAATGAAAAGAGATTTATAATATGTCTCGTCAGTGTAAGTGTAACTTTTTTCTCATTTATCGTATTCAGAGAGCACATATTCACATTAAATAAAAATACAAAGACTGGAAGCATGCACTATAAGAATTCACACAGAAACAAAAAGTCAGTCTATGAAGAAATCACATGCAAAAATGTTTAACTCCAACTGTAACTATGCCACAGAAAAATTAATATAGACAGACAACTGGGACAGTGTGATTCTTTCATTATTTAAGCACAGGAAAAGAAAGCTCAAACAAGACAGAAAAGCAGTTATCAGCAGAGAAATTATGCCTTCATATAGACAGGAATGAGCACTTACAAGATGAGACATAGATAAATAAAAATCTGGAACTGTGTATGAAGAGTCACTCCAAGAGGACAGTCTGTGGACAAACAAATTACCTTCACTATCAGACATGGTGCCCTGCAGATCATCCATTAGCACATAGCCACGCCCTCTTGAAGGATCTTCTCTGAGATGTTGCTGTTGAGGGTCTTGGAGGGACAAACATGACCCAAACTGATCGCGCGAGTCAGCAGATATGGGCGGGAGCGGACCCGCTGATGCCCGTGCCATACCCATTGGCTGACCCACTGGACTCAGTGGGCTCTCTTCCTCTGAGTTCTGTGCCACAATAGGAATACGTCCACGCCCACCTTGTACAATGGGCAGGCTTGTAGGTTTTGACCTGCCTGATGGAGCCTGGAAAGCTGAGGTGTCTGAGGAGGGGTCACCTTCTGCTTTGAGCCTCAGAGATGAACTTGAGGTATCCCTTTTAAGGGACAGGTCAAGGCCATACACAGAGGAGGGTCTAGAGGAAGGCCGTGACCTACTTCCACTAGGGTAAGCAGAGTCTTCTCCCAAAGTGGACCTCATGCCTGGGCTCAGATTTAGGCTTTGGCCCAGATTGAGTGAACCTGCCAAGTTGGCCCCAAGAGTGGAGCCCAGGTATTTCTGCTGTTCAGCAATGTTCTTGCGTAGCCCAAAGGTGATTTCATCCTGCAGAAGTCTGCTTGATCTGGGAGAAGCACTACTGGACCCCAAGTAACTACTATAGTCTGTTTCTAGAGCCCTGCTATCCTGGATGGAGGAGTACTTGCCTATGTTGCTGGTGTTTTTGTGTTTCTGGTAGAGCATAGATGTAGGAAGTTGCTTGGCAGCCTGTTTCTCTAAGGTCAATCTACTGATGCTGTACTTGTCAGTTTTGGGGAACGCCCTGTAGCCTCCACTAGACACTCCAGTGCTAGTGGTATAGTGATGTGAGAGTCCAGCAAGCTGCTCTAAGCTTTCAGTGCCCCCTGTGCTTCTCCGGAACTCCTGTTTCAGTTGTTGTTTTAAAAGCTTTAGTTCAAATGGCTCTTCCATTGGGTCCTCTTCATCTTGAGCCTTACCATAAGAGTGAAGTCTGGAGGAGCTTCCCAGGTAGTCTGTACCAACATCTGCAGCAGTGCGTCTCAGAAGGTGCTCTGCTTTGGCTAGCTCCCTCTCAGCAATGCCATAGCTGGCAGATGAAAGGCTAACAGTGCTTTTTGCAAGTTCTGCTGCATCTTCTAAAAGCATATAGCTCCTTGGTGTTTGATGTTGCTCTAAGTCTGCATAGAAGGAGTCAGCAGATACATTTGACATAGGACTGACTGCCAAGCTGCCAGCACGCTCTTCTAGGCTATGCAAGTCAAGGTGGTTACCATATTTTCCTCCCAAGTAAGATGACGTGTCATAGTTGGTGGAAATTTTGGTAGAATCTAATTCAGAGAGGAGAGCAGCTTGTTGTCTGGCTTTCTGCTGGAGCAAAAGCATTTGGTGGTAGCTCTGTTGTTGTGAGGCAGTCAGAGAAGGAACAGAAGAGTAGATGGACTGGGATTGGTATGGTGACTGAGGCTGGTACAGGGACTGCTGATACTGTGGGTACTGGTACTGGGAATATTTTCCATACTGGTCGTGCTTGGTCTGTGGAGGAACAAATTCATCAAGTTCTGACTGTGGTGCAGTACGTGGTCTCTCAAGCCCATGTCCACTGACCTCCTCTCCAACTCTTGTTTCACGAATGTTACTCACCTCACTGTCAGACATGTAGTCACGGTCCTCTGCAACACTTTGCAGATAGGCCCTTTCCCTCTTCTCCCTTTCTTTAAGCAATGCCTCCTTTCTTCGGTTAATGCCCATCTCCAGGTATCGCAACTTGGCATCAATCTCCTTTTCTTCCTCATCCAGTTCAGCTTGCTTTTTACGCAGTTTGGAGGACTCTCTCTCAACCAGGTCTAGTTCACGGTCAATGTCCTGCAGGATTTTTGCTCGTGCCATGTTAGTGCTCCGGCAGAGACGGCGACGAGCTGAGCCAGTGCTGTAGGCTGTTTGACCAGCATTAACCGCTTCTTCCTCTGAAGGTGGGTTAGGAAGGGTCCTCTTAACCTTCTTTTGGGTGCCAGATGGAGTTCCACTTGGAGATCCCTTTCCCTTTGGATGACAAATAAAAAGAGAATTATCAGAAGAAACTTTAAAAACAAGCAACCACCACCTAAGTTTTCAAGTTTGAATGAGAATAAAGTATAATGGTAAAAAGAAAAAAGGTCTCTAGAGGATTTTGTTTTCTCATGTCAGACATGCCTTGAGGATGGGTAAACAAACACATACTCTATATCTGCTGTTCTGCTGCATTGCCTTTAAAGGCGCAAGCACTGAAAATATTAAAAAGGACATCTAACATGTCAATGGCTACCAGGCCTAGGGCAACATTTGAAAAACAGAGAGAAAGTCAATATACAGTGGGTACGGAAAGTATTCAGACCCCCTTAAATTTTTCACTCTTTGTTATATTGCAGCCATTTGCTAAAATCATTTAAGTAAATTTTTTTTCCTCATTAATGTACACACAGCACCCCATATTGACAGAAAAACACAGAATTGTTGACATCTTTGCAGATTTATTAAAAAAGAAAAACTGAAAAATGCTCAGTATTTAGTAGAAGCACCCATTTGATCTAATACAGCCATGAGTCTTTTTGGGAAAGATGCAACAAGTTTTTCACACATGGATTTGGGGATCCTCTGCCATTCCTCCTTGCAAATCCTCTCCAGTTCTGTGCTGTGTGTACATTAATGAGGAAAAAAAATTAACTTAAATGATTTTAGCAAATGGCTGCAATATAACAAAGAGTGAAAAATTTAAGGGGGTCTGAATACTTTCCGTACCCACTGTAAGCTGAACAATAGCATGAAGATATTACACAAATAAATATGATAAATCTGCCTCGAGGCATTATAAATTTGAAGTCATATATTAACAAACAATTATGTAAAAAGCAAGTAAATAAGACATGAAATTTCAGCATATTTTCCAAGCTGAGTCTTCTCACAAAACTTAAACACTTATAAAAAAAAAAATACTGTATACTCACAGAGTAACCCTCAGAATACTGGAAATTTGCTGCTGCCCTTTCTTCAGCAGTTGGGCTCATGGGTTTAGGGTCAGACATTGACCTTTGTATGACCTTGGGAGCCCTAGGACTTGTTGGTGGACCTTTGGATAGATCTGTGGCAGAGTGTATTCTCTGTGGGCTTGTGTCTCCAAGGGATTTCCCATAGGACAAATACTCAAGGGATTTGCTAGGGGATACACAAGGGGAAATTGGGGAGTACAGTACTTTTGGGGATTTGGGAGGACCTGGGACAACCTGAAGAGTAGAGGCATCTGCTTTGAGGTGAGGAGACTGACCTATATCAAGTGGAGTGGGACGCCTCTTTGGAGAAGAAGTTATATCAGAGTCAGGATAATCTAATCTAGTATCTACCTGCACAGAGTGCCCCCTAAGTGTTCCTGAGGGGTCTGTTTGTACAGAGATTTCAGTAAGGGCCTGAACTGAAACAGCTCCTCTTTCACCCATGCCATTTTTACCACCACGTGTTCTACTGCGCCTGCTTCGAGCAGGAACTTCCCATTCATCTTGGTCTTCATCATCTGTCTGTACACAGCTATCAACACTTTTTTTTGTACTTTTCTTTTTCCTTCCTGCAGTGTAGGCCTTTTCAGTATTATCCTCCTCATCAGTCTGGCAGCCACTGTCCATTTTTCTTTCTCCTGCCACAACAAGAGCCTCTGGCAGGACTTCACCTGGATACATCTGCCTGAACTTCTGTTCTTCCAACTGCTGTCTGAGCTGTTCTTGGAGTCTCTGGATCTGCTCTAACTGCTCCTGTTGCTGAGCATAAGTTTCCTTTTGCATCAAAAGGTGGGCCTGTCTATCCTCTTCTTGCTGACATAGTATTTGCTGTTTCATGGCCTGGAGTTCTTCCAGCTCCTTCTGCACAAGAAGCTGTTCTTGATCACGGAACCGCTGTATCTCCTGTCTCTCCCACTCAAGTTCTTCAGCCAAGCGTTGCTGCTTCATCTTTTCTAGCTCAAGAAGCTCACACTCCATCTGGTACTGTCCATCTCCTGGAACCAAGGGTGAAGACAGAGCTTCTAAAGAGGCTGCAATTGCCTCCAGTGAAGCATTTGTGTAGGTGTCCAGTGCTGCCACTGTGGTGACTGTTGAAATTACATCTGAGAGAGTTGTTGAAAGGCCAGCCTTTGAAACAACAGTCTCCAGATTTAATGGTAAGTCACTTTGTTCTTCTGCTGTGGTTACAGCAATTGTTGAAAGAAAGCTGTGCGACCTAGTGAGAGGCTGATTCTGTAGAGTTGACAGTGATGGCATAGTATCACTTGTGTGCATCCCTGACAGAGTATTGTAGGATGTGCTGAAGATAGAGCCAGGCTGGGTGGTTATGGCATATGTAGAAGGGACTGGAGCTGCTACAGAAGAATAAACAATACCATTGGAAGATCTTAGGACACTAGAAACACCATAGTGGGTTCCAACTGCTGAAGTAATCCTGGCTTGTGTGTACTGTGGAACTGTCATTCCAGTGCACACTCCTGTAGACTTGTTCGAATAGTCTACAGCTTCACCTGTTAAAAGTTCATTTTGTTAGATTAGAGTTCAGCACATACAAAGAGTGCAGTGGTAACAGCATTGATATAACCATGCACTATCCAAAGGATGAGAAATAAAGCATCAAAAAGTATACAGATTAGCATGCAGTGACATGCAAAAAAAAAAAAAAAAATAATAATAATAATAATATTAAAATATATATATATTGAGAGCATGCAAAATGACTTCCCAAAAATACAGGCAGGCATACAAAAAATCAGCTGGGAATAAGTAGAGGTAACTCAAAATGATATCGAGAAGAAAGATCTTCAATGTCATACTGACCTGCCACCGACATTTTTCCAGATGTCAGGTCTACAGCACCTTCAGTGGTCTCCTTGTAATCATAACTATGCTTACTTTTATATAAGAAGAGACCAGCTTCTGCCAAGTTTGTGTCCGACATTGAGGGTTTAATGCCACCAAGACCTCTCATACCATAAGGAGTACGATCGTATTGATAATGGTCATCTCTGTAGCCAAAGCGATCCTCTGGTAATGGAGCTGAGGGCTGCTGAGTTGTACAGCTGCTTGCAAAAGGAAGCTTGTAGACTACATCACAGCAGACTGCTCTTCTTCCAGCAGTAAGATCTACTGGTTTTCCATCATCCTCTGTAATTACAGCAGTAACCACCTCTGCAGTGGACCCATTCATTGCAACCACAGTTTGTGCAGGTTTTACTGTGGTGAGATCAACTGCACCGGATAAGCCTGTTTCTAGACGAGGGGGTATAGTTGCACAAATGCCATTGCTTGCAATTGTAGGAGCCATTGTTACAGGACCAGTTTTACCCATTGTTGTAGAGAGATTTATGGGTTTCTCTGGTTGAGAATCCACAGGTCTGTAAATAATTTGAGACACAGGCTCAAAGGATTTAGCTGTTGTAAGTTGGAGAGGCATTGATGTTGACAGAGATACATCACTACCATAAGCTACAGTGGCTGTGCACGTGAGGATGGTGATGTTGTCAGTAACCACAGAGACTGAGGACGTATCAGTGCTTAGGTTTACTACAGATGACTGCACAGCACTTTGCTGACGTCCACCACTATCAATAGCAAGGGACTGTCGTCCTGACTCAGAGGAAGACAGATCCACACCTTTTATGGATGTCTCTGCATCTATCTTTGGGGTACGGAGATCCACGACCTCACCAGGATGGTAGGCATGACCATTCTGCACTTGAGCTGGTTCAGGTTTTATGTTTTCTTGAACAACAGAGATGCCAGAGGCTCTTGGAATAGGATGTGGAGGTGGTGTTCTTTCATGCACAACAGACACTGTGGTTCTTTGGACTTCAGTGGTAACTACCTGAACGCCAACATTTGGAATAATTGACTGAGGCTGCGTTGAGGTTGAAATAGCCTCGTAGACATGACTCATGCTAGAAACTACCTTCTCTGGACCACATATTTCTTGACTTTCAATAGATTCAGTAATTCGTGTGAATGCCAATGGTACTCTAGTTGTTTGTGATTGTGGAGGTGGTTGAGGTGGTGAATGAGGTGGCTTCTGAGGTGATTCTTGGCTAGGACCTATTGAGGCTTGGGTTGTGATACCTTCTGTAGGTGAACCAGGCTGAGATGGCAAAGTAATAACAACATATGTGTCACGTAAAACCTTGCCAAACCTGGGTGATGTAGGGGACTTGAGAGGAGATGTGGTCTTATTTTCGGCAGAAGGACTCAGATTAAGGACACTATCTGCACTGCTTGTACTCAGTATGGTAGGTCTTGTAGGTGTGTGGGCTGTAAAGGGTGGCTGAGCACCAGCTATGGGTTTGGGAGCTATGCGAGGTTTAACAGTCTCCCCAGGTTTGTGACTGAAGGTTAGGCCTGCAGGGATAGAGGATGGCTTAGGTGGTACAGGTGGAGGAACATGGGGCTTATAGCCTGGAGTGAGAGGCTGTCTTACTGGTACACTGTCCCCTGTGGTTGGCATGCCAACTGGAGTAGTTCTTGGGGGGACCTGTGGTGGAGTCTTTTTGGGATACACAGAGGGTTTGGGTAGTGTTGGAGGGGGTAAGGGTGGAGGAACTGGAATGTCTGCTTTTTCCAGAGATGCAGCTCTGCGTAGTACTACTGGTTTGGGAGGAACTGGTGGAGCAGTTGATACAACACTAGGTACAGTGGGTACTATATATTGCGGTACTGTGGGCAAAGGTGATACACTTACAACTACTGGGGCCGACGGTCTTGAAATTACACTAGGAACTGGTGCTGTAAAAGAGTCAATTTGACTAGGGGCTGATGACTTGGACAAGTCAACAACAACTGTCTGCTCAATTCCTACATCATTTTCTGTGGCATCCTGTGAATCACTTGATACTGCAGGCAATGCTACTTCTCTTTGTAGTGACAAATCATCTGCGACTGGCTCTGAGGCTGATGTTTTCTGGAAAGCCTCATCCACAAGTGGTTCTGGTTCAGTCTTTGTAACTGAAACTGTAGCTTTCTCAGAGTCCTGTGTTTGATCAGAAATACTCTCTTCACCAGATTCCTCTTCACCTGAGGAGCACGGTGTCACTCTTAGATCAGGAATAGGCAGTATTCTTCGTAGGGGTGCTGGATCGTTTTTTTCAACCTGGGTTATTGTTGTACCTTGTGCCATGCCACTCAGATCAGGGCCTGCTTGAGTTGGACTGGTGCCTGGAGTTAGTACTGCTCTTTGCTTCTTCATAAGCTCCTCATAGGCTGCTTCTGCATTTAATAATGGCCTTCTATCCTTTCCGGACTGACCTGTGGTGCTTGATGACATAATGCTTTGTTCTTTGCTTGAGTCAGTTTCGGGCAACACAGTTTTTGCTTTAGGAGCATCTTCTACTGGCTTACCGTGTTTTATCCCCTGTTCCTTAAGCATCATCTCTTCCTTTCTTTGCATCATGTCCTCATAAACCTCATCAGGTGATCTCAGGGGTTTTTTGGGTTTCTCTGACACAAAAAGTTTATCTGGTTCCTGCTCATAGGACGCATCATCAACAAGAGACTCATATGCATAATTTTCTATCAGCATGCTCCCATAAAGAGATTCTTTACCAGGTGGATGTTCCTTTCCATCGTTAGTTGGAGATTTGACCTTGAGCATAATCTCTTCATATGCCTCATCCGCACTTCTTAATGCATGTTTTCTCTTTTCTTTGGACTGACTATCAGTGTGTTGCTCATCTGTTGGAGAGTACAGTGAGACTGATGTTGGTAACTGATACACTTTTTGGACAGCAACAATCTTCTCTGGGAGAATCTCAAAGCTCTCTGGTTCTGACTCCATGCTTGGGGAGAGGTCTGAGCAGGAAGACCTGCGGAATTCCTCCATCTCTGCTTCTTGTCGTAGCTCTTCTGTGGGAGATGCATCCTCAATTGGTGAGAGGTTGCTTGGCGGAGTTTTGGGTCTTTCTCTCCTTCTCTGTGCCCGTATCTCTTCTTTGTCTTTCTTTGACTTTTTTCCTGTGCCCTTCTGCTTCTCCTGTTCTCTCAGAAGCTCTTCTTCTTCTCGCAGCTCCTCTTCCTCTGATGAATCCTCAATGGTAGGAAGCTGGCCTGACCGGTGCTTTGCTTTCCTCTGCTGCTTGCCCTCACCACTAGACCGAACATGACTTGGGCTGCTGCTGTCACTGTCTTCATCAAGAGAAGACAAAGATGTTGGAGATGTTCCTGGGGTAAAACTGGATGCATGTAAACTGGAAGAGCCTTCACCTCTTGACCTGTCATCAGGAGAGTCTGTAAGGCTCTCTAGCTCACCGTCATCTGATATCTGACGTACAGTCGCTGTACTGTTAAGTTCAATTGTTTTAAAATGTCGTATACCAGCTCCACTGTCTACTGAAGGTTGTTCTCCTTTAGCTAGTTCTTCAATTTTAGTTACAGAGATAATACTCTTCCGTTCAGGCTCATCTTCTGGACTGATACTGCTCTTTTTGAGATGGCGTCTCCCTTTGCATGACTCACTTTTGTTCTTTTCATCTTTCTTTGCATTTTGTTTCATTTGCGACTTCTCTTGATCTTTAATTTTTCGTCTGGCAAGGTTTTCTTCATCAGATGGTGATGCATCCTCATCTGCACTCATCTCTATGATCTGCTTCCGGATGAAATCCTCCTCGTCCATAGGACTCTCCATTTCTACTTCCTTATCTCCAACAGTCTTTTTCTTTTGCAGTTTAGGTGAAGGTTCTCCCTCACTACTGTCCTCAAAAGAATCTCCTTGAATATCAGTTGGAACCAAAAGTTTTTTCCGCTCTTTTTTTGGTACATCAATTTTTTGCTCTTGAGATTCTCCATGTTGGTCATCCTCTGAGCTGGGTTCTGGAGACATTGGCAACACCTCCAGTCGACGCTTGACCTTTGGAGTTTCAGTTTGTGATTTCTCTTTAGATGTTGTCTGAGCCTCTAGTATTGGAAGGACGCGTTCAGGCTCATCTTCTGGACTGATACTGCTATTTTTGAGAAGGCGTCCCCCTTTGCAGAATTCACGTTTGTCCTTTTCATCTTTCTTTGCATTTTGTTCCATTTGTGTCTTCTCTTGATCTTTAATTTTCCATCTGGCAATGTTTTCTTCATCAGATGGTGATGCATCCTCATCTGCACTCATCTCGATGATCTGCTTGCGGATGAAATCCTCCTCATCCATAGGACTCTCCATTTCTACTTTCTTATCTCCAACAGTCTTTTTCCTTTGCAGTTTAGGTGAAGGTTCTCCCTCACTACTGTCCTCAAAAGAATCTCCTTGAATATCAGTTGGAACCAAAAGTTTTTTCCGCTCTTTTTTTGGTACATCAATTTTTTGCTCTTGAGATTCTCCATGTTGGTCATCCTCTGAGCTGGGTTCTGGAGACATTGGCAACACCTCCAGTCGACGCTTGACCTTTGGAGTTTCAGTTTGTGATTTCTCTTTAGATGTTGTCTGAGCCTCTAGTATTGGAAGGACGGTGCTTTCCAACTTGGCCAAGTCTGAAGGACTCATAGGGCTGCTTTCTTTATCTTTCTTACCAGGCTTCCTCAGTAGCTCACTCTCTTTCACTGGGACAGGAGCCTCTTCTTTATTCTACAAAACAGAAAAAAAGAATTAGAATCTGACAAGCTATGAAAAACATGCATTATATTTATAAGACAAATAAGAACTACATAAGATAAACATTGGGTTTCTGTAGGTGTCTAGACAATGAACCTAGATTTTCTACAATTTATCTATACCTCTACCTGAGATCAACTGTGGGATACTGTAGGTGTCTACACAATGAACCTAGTTCATCTACAAGATATCTATACCTCTACAGCTACATGTACAGTTACCTCTCCAGATTCATTAATTTCATTAGACTTTATCAATGGCTGTAGCACATCATCCAATTTTTCTTGTGGTTCAGAGGTCAACTTCCCCTCCTCTGATTTGTTTCTTTCCTGTTGGCTAAATGTAGATGGTGGGGAGACTACTTCTACATCATGGTCTAGGCTATGGGGCACACAATTAGCTGTAGATTCAAGTTTAGCTTTTTTGGTGACTTCCAGGTCAGTTACAACCAGTGCTTTTTCCATCAGCTCCTCACTGACTAATTTATCTTTCACACTAGATGTAGTAGATGTTACAGCAAGGGTTTGGACTTGTTGTGTAGACTGCAACTCTTCAGGTTTAATCTCAATTACTGCTTTTTCATCTTCATGCTTACTAACCACCAGAGATGAGGAGACTTGTATTTCCTGGTCAGTAAGACCCTTTGGCATGGCAGAATGTTCTAGATCTTTTTCTGTCACAGAGTCTGGAATCTGCCTAATATCATTCTGTTCTGGCAATATTTTTTCTACCATCTCATTCACAGCAGGAGTCTGGGCTTGCTGTGTAGACTGCATCTCTTCAGGCTTAATCTCAATTATTGCTTTTATGTCTTCATTCTGACTAACCACAGGGGATGAGGGGACTCCTATTTTCTGGTCAGTAAAACCTCTTGGCATGACAGACTGTTCTAGAGCTTTTTCTGTCACAGTGTCTGGAATTTGCCTAATTTCCTCTTCTTCTGGAAATAATTTTTCTACAATCTCTGAAACAGTATGATTATTAACAGATGATAGTTTATCTTTAATTACTTTACATTCATTCTCATTCTCTGTAATAACAGCATCTGACTCTGTGTTTTGCTCACATACTTTCTCTGTTTCTGACATCTTTTTCTCTGGTTTGGGAGCAGCTTCTTGAAGGGCTGGAGGGTATGTATCCCCCATTTTTTTCTCCTCTATGTTTTTATCTGGACTAATCTCTTGTTCAGAGAAAGTATTGAGAGTGACTTTCTGCTCTGTGTTCTTGAGGATCTCTAAATCTCCACCTGCTTGATCTGGCATACATTTTTCCAGCACTACTTTATCTGTGCTCATCTGTTCCTTTTCCAGTGGCCTATCCTCTTTTTCTGCACAGAGCTCTTTAGTGCAGTGATCCTTTGGGTTATATTTACTAACATTTTCAGATCCACTCGCCAATATTTCTTCTGTGAAGTTGAGTTCAGTAACTGGAGATTGTGAGAGCTCATCTAATTGTGTTTGTGATGTGTCCTCTACCTCTATCTTATCTTCTTTTAGACTTTTTTCAGAATTTTCATCGTTATTATCTACACAAATATAATTTGCAATAAGACTAGAATCTTTGCTAGTGACTTCTGACTTTTCAAATGGATCTTTCATCTCTAGCATTTTTACTATAACCTCTTCTTTGTCACATACATTTACATTCTTTTGGGGGGTTAACTGTGTTGTTTCTGTAACCTGCTCTTCTATTAATTCGTTATTCAAAATGGCCTCCGCTATGACTCCATTTTCAAGTCGATCTGCTCTATTTTCTGGCTCTGCAGATTCTTCCTGATAGGTAATATCATAGGATGGCTGATTATCACGGGGCTCACTGGACTCAATCCCTGGTGCCTCAATTTGCACAGAGGCCTCAGGTTTCCTCTCTGGCACATCCCCTATGCTACGTTGATCAGGATCAGTAGTTGCTGTCTCGATAGAGCTTTCCTTTACAGGCATGTTATCTACCGTATCTACATTTGAGGGTAGTGCGAGCTCTTCAGATTGTTTCTCTGTAGTCTGACTATGTGGTTCCTTGCTTATAGGAGAGCTTGCATTGGACTGTGTCATTTTGATCTCTGTGGCTGGCTCTGATGTCTCAGTGGATTGCGGCTCTATTTCTTTTTCTGAAATGGCTTCCATGTCACTAACCAGAAGGGTCTGAATAACATTATCAATTATAGGTGCTTCCTGGCTGCTTTCAGGCTCCGTTTCAAATGTATTAGCATATTCTGTCTTTTTGACCTGGCACTGTTCTGGCTCACTTTTCTCTGTATTCTGTACCGCTGCTTGGTCCTCAGTTTGTTCTACAGTTTCAGCCTGTTCTACATCTGCCCCTTTAACATCTGCCGTCTCTTTTAAAACATGAGGTGAAGGAGGGGCATCTTCCTTAACTATTTGCTCGGTTATAGTTGCTACGCCCTCTGTGTTTTCATTCAGGGTGCCAGGTGCTTGTTCTTTGCTCTCTTCTGGTACTACCTGTGTACTCTTCAGTACTGGCTCTGCTGTAACCCCTTGTTCTGCATCTGTATTTTTGATATCTTTAGCATCAACTTTGGCTGAGACTGGCTCAGACTTGTCAGCTGGGGCCTGAGTTATGCTGGGCATCCGTGTTAGCCCTTTGGCGGGGGTGGCAGTGGCAGTAGGTGCAGAAGAGGAAGGGGTGGAGGATGCAGCACGGGCTGGGGAGGAGGAAGGGGTGGGTTCGTGTTTGGCTGGTAGCTTGGATGGAGAAGGTGGAGGTGGCATATCCCCAAGTTGCCCAGAGAGAGCCCTTTGGGTCTGGCAGTTTAGGCAGAGCCATTCTTTCTGTAAAAAAAGGAATAATAGCAGATTTGAGATGAAGTATTAAAAGTTAAGGTGCTACAATACATTTCCCGCCTCTGATTCAGAGATTGTTCCATGTTTCACAACACATTTAACTAATAAACCTCTAATACTACAGCAGAGGATAACTCACTCTATTTCTGGAGTGCTTTTTAAATGTATGTAACTTAAAAGATTGTTCATTTATTATTAATAGTATGGGATGAACCTTTATCAGTTCAATGTCAGAAAAACCTGTTCAGCAAAAACTGCACCTCAACAGTTTACAGATGCTAGTGAATATATGGAGTGAACGCATATACATTTGTATGTGTGGTGGTGGGTGTATTGGTCTTTATTTTTAGGCTAATAGTGAAGTAAAACAAGCTAAAAGATTAAGCAGTGCTGTGTGGATATACTGTATGGTATTCCTCCAACTCACAAAAGTAGGCTACACAAAATTATCTATTTACAGACAATTAAATCTGCTAGCAAACACATTGGAAAATGCAGTAAAGGAAATGTGGTCTATACTGTAGTTGTTCACAGAAACTAGCATCCTTTCAGCATAATTTACTTGAGAGACCACATGGGGAAAAATTCCATCCCCCACTTAAGCTGTGATTGAGATTTGAACACAGCTCAACTAAAACTAACAACTGTTTATAATGGCTGTTTTCCCCAATATTCCAGCCCACAGGACTTTATTTAGATTTCAAAGATGTATTTTCCAAAGAAAAACACTGGAGCTGCTGAAAGCTACAAAAAGAACAACACCTGAAATGTACTGAACCTTGTGACGTCAAGCAGAGCACTCCATGACACTGAATGCACCACAAATGGTAACGTCAGAGATGAATATTACATGTTCGTGGGGGATGCAGATGCCACATGCAGGCAATCCTCTCATGAGGAATCATGCCCCACTGGCTGACGTAAATTCAGAGCGATCTATGTTAAGCTTCAGTGCTGAGGCATGCTTAGCTACGTTTTGGTTCTCCAATGGCTTTGCTGCAGGGTTTAGTCTAAATCTAGAGAAGGTCTGGGATCCCTGTTCCATGCGAGGGCAGAGACATTCTGAGATATGGATATTTCATACCACACACAATTTGTATGGCAAGACCCATTACTGTATTTGGTGTGCAAGGACAGAGTTCAAGGACAAAGACACACAATCCTAATGAAACCCTATAAGATGAAAGAGTGATGTGCTTGTAACCTTATGAAAGGTACGTGTATTTCAACATTATGCAGAAAGGTACATCAGAAGAGAAGGAAATATTATCCTTCCTAAGGAAAAAATGAACAACAACTACAAATCTAGGAAATTAGGAAAACAAAAATGTAAAGACTTTCAAATAGTCTGGTCAAACACTGCAGTAAAGTTCCCTGAAATCGCATTACTGCCAATTATTATATCGATAAGCAAAAACAGATGTCTGCTCTCACTTTGAATACAGCTTGAAACTGAAACTTGGACTTGAAAATGAAAGTTGCGCTCAACTCCTTTTTATGTAATTCATCAGCAACAAAGCGATCTGCCCATGTGCCATATAACAAATGACAAGATCAGATAGAGGCAATGAAGACTTGGTCTTGGAACTGAATAAAAAAAACTAATCTATTTGACTCACAGGCTATCGACTTATATAGTATAGTATGAAACATCAATTTTGAGTAATTTTATTCAATCTCTGGCCACTAACAGCTAACTACCTCTGCATGATCTGGCTAGCATACTCATGTATTTCAAAAAGCACTAAGATTTACTAGCCTCACAGACAGAGGCATTAAATCCAGCAGCCTCAGAGGTGAAGAGACTGGAACTGATGCGAAATAATGAGAGTTCAGGCAGTCACATGATTTGTGGCTTGGGCTGAAAACACCACTTGTCTTCTCACCACTCATTCTTTCATACTTGCTGAGTTTGCAGACAGGAATATCAGACAGAGCAACATGAAGTTTTTTATGAGGGCCTATATAATCTATGCCAGACTTCTTTAGAGCATCTCAGGTTGCTGATAAGGGATTGTATCTGAGATTTATTACAGATTATTGGAAAGGGAAATTTTCCTCAAAGGGTGTAGAGAAAAAAGGGTATAGAAAAAATGCATGTTAATGGAACAGTCCATTTTAATTTCATAACTTTTTCAGTGGAAGTGTATCCCATGAAGTTTGAATTTTAAAAAAAGAGCAGTATTTGTGAAAATGAAAATTCCAAAAAGCACAGTAAGAAAAAAAACATCCCATCCTTCCTTACTAAGAAAACCATCTCTCATATTTATTGGGATACCATTTCAAGAGGGATTATAACTTCTTTATTACAAAAGGTGTAACAAAAAGGTTTTCTTACATACATTTAAGCTCTTTCTTCTATGGAACATGCCCCTGATCTGAATTTAAGTTTCCATTTCTGTCAATCAGGAAAACTGTGCTTTATAATCCCTATCCAATGAGCACAGATGGGTGTGCTAACTCTCAAAGCCAGAATGTGTGTATGTGTGAAATCTGTCAATAAAGGTGTGAAACTGAGCTAAATTTACTAAAAGCCCAAAGACTGCCACAGACTTATTTTGATAATGCAATACACTCACTTACAAACCTACCATATGAATCGAAGTTTCCATCAAAATTTGTTCTTTAGTTATTTTTTAAAAATGTAAAAAAAAAACAAAAAAAAAAACCTTACTATGGCAATACTTTCAATCAGATGCTTTCCAAACCCTTGTCATTTTAATTTTTGATGTAAAAATTACCACAGTTTAACTGAAGTGACACAATAACTGCATTTTGGTAGAATCACTGGTTACCAAGGTAAATGTTTAAAGGGCTAGTAATGTAGGATTATCAAAACTATAATAGTAACTGCAAGTATACTGTAAGTTTATCTAGATTTAGATACACAGAATAAGCCTTTTTATTTAATTTATAGATTCAAATGTGACAAAATTAAGTATTCAAGTCAAACTGTTTTCAACTTCTGTCACAATAAGCAAACAAATAGGAAGTCACATTTTCTCAATAAGCTTTCCACACACTTCCTCCTCCAAATTCTAATATCATTCACCGCCTCCTCTCTCACTCTCAATGCTCTTTCTTTCTCTCCTCCTCTCACATCCACCACCCCTCTTCCTCTCCTTATTAGCTAGCTAGAGTAGGTCTGTGTGAGGTTCAAACTTCCTGTAAGACTCTGTGCTGGCACCATACTGATTTCCTGGTGCTGCCTGCACGGTTAAAACGTGCCAGTTTTCATTATACTAAGTGTCTGATGTTAACAACACATTAAGGCAGTGGTTCTCAAACTTTTTTGGTCGCGCCCCCCTTTAAACCTATAAATAAATCTGGTGCCCCACCCCCCCTCCCTCTTCCCCATCTCACCTCAGACTACCAAATAATTTCAATAAACATTATGAAAAATTAATGCTTTTTTAATAAAAAAAATCTACAGCGGAAAAAACACCTGCAACACTTGAAACATTGAAAAATAGCATACAGAGAATAACTGTTATTATTCTTATTCTCTCTGTAGTTTTTTCATATTTAGTTTTGTTGTTTTCAAGTTGATTTATTTTTTTGTGTGGGTTTCATGCTGTCCGCTAAGGCATAGGACACACACAGGCCTTTCCTCCTCACCAACGAAATTAACAACGCTCCTACACCGGATGCGAGCGGCAAAATACAGTAGAACCCATTATAATCAGTGACTCCGTTTACACTGGATGTGGCGCGACATGACAAATCCCCGACATTAAACATATTTTCTGCATTTAGCTTTTGAATGACCAGCACCTGCCTGGGCCTGTGCGACTTCATCTATGGCTTTTCTCTTCCCTTTCACGAACTGATCCATCTCCCATTATAAGTTACGTCCTTTGGCTGTTTACAGTTTTATTTCTTTTCTTTTTCTGCTGATGGCCCGCACACTTTGAGAACCACTGCATTAATGGATACACATTCAAATTTGAGTCAGCATAACACGTGTATTTCTCAGTGGTGAGATTGCTGTCTTTGTACACTTGGTTTGGAGCTTGGTTTAATGGAAAGGGTGCCTAGTGGCTGTCTCTCCATCATACACACAAAAATCACCTTCACATCTAAAAATACGACTGCTTTCAAAACATCAGGGACAGGATGACACGTGGTGGACACTGCAGGAATGTGTCTGGCCTAAAAGAGAGCCTTTTGAGCTCAAAGGAAAACACACACAGTCACACACACGGCAATAAAAGCTTGCTGCCACAAAGAGGAACATCTCCCATGATGTCCTGCAGTCATTCTTGGCTCTGCCTCTACCACTCTTTTGCCACTGTGGCTATTTTTGCCTCAATGTACAAAACAGTAGAGAGGCACAGCTTTGACTGCGAGCCAGACAGACAGGTAGAATAAAATACAGATAGACTGGACAATTTAAGTCACACTGTATGATTAAGCCAAGAATAAATAATGAATATTTGAAACTCCAGATGAAACAAATATTTGGTGCCTCAGCGTGACAGGACATTCACATGGACACATCATCCTGTAGATTAAGAGACTCAGAGGTGTTATTAAGAAATGCAGGCTAGAAATCAGAAGATTGATAAAGATAAACAAAGCAAACATCATAATCAAACAGACAGGCGGACAGATCTCCATGGCGATGGAAGGCACACATACACACACGTCTGTACACATTATATAAAGTGATCAAATAGACAGATTGCGAGACGGCACTGTAGTTATGGGAACAGAACAAGCAGACAGAGGAAGGTTGAGTAGCTCTTTAAAGTGGATATGAAGTGTTCGAGCTGAAGTATTTGGAAGAATTAAGGAGTTTAACTTCTCATTTCTAGGCAAAAATGTAAACAGACGTGCAAAATTTGGGAGGAACTTGTTTATCCAGCTGATCCTGTCAATACATGTAACATATTATTTATTTTTTAAACTTTTCAATTGTATGCATGTATGTATGTATGTACAGTGGGGAAAATAATTATTTGATCCCCTACTGATTTTGTAAGTTT